TGAGGGTTTAGGGTTTAGGGTTTAGGGTTAAGGGTTTGGGGTTAGAGGTTTTGATTTTGCCCTTCAGAGTATTCGTTTCACTGGCATGACGTGCTGCACTGTAGTTCTTTCGGTTTGCCGTTACAAGGGTGTGGGGTTTAGGGTGTAGGGTTTAGGGTTTAGGGTTTAGGGTTTAGGGTTTGCGTTAAGACTCAACTTTGACGAGCTCCAGGCCTTCGCGCGTTTTCGAACATCTCCAATTGGCTACGAGCCTTTTGTGGAGGCTTGTTTGAGAAAAGGAAACAAAGAACTAGCCCGTAAACCCTAAACCCTAAACCCTAAACCCTAAACCCTTGTGAGCCCCTAGGCCCGGCCTACGCAGCCAGCCCTCCCACCTTGCAGCTCCAGCCTACAGCCAAACCCTAGGCCTTGGCCGCTGCCGCTCCCCAAACCCTAAACCCTAAACCCTAAACCCTTGTGTTGCAGTTCAACTCACTTATAAAGTTAAAGACCCAAACTCTAGGGCCCGTTTTCTGGGGGCCCTAGGAAGGCAAGAAGAGGCCGCGGCGGCGCTGCAGGCCCCTCAGCAGGTAAACAAATAAATAAGTAAATAAATAAATAAATAAATAAATAAATAAAATAATAAAGATATAAATACATATATGTATAACTAATTAATTACTTAATTATATTAATTAATTTGACAGTTAATGACAGTGTTTGGGGCTTTTTCGGGGCTTTCTGCGCATGCATTTGTGCGCGGCCTTTGGCCCACCTTTGGGGCTTGTTTCCTTGCATACGTGCATGCATGCATGCATGCATGCATGCATGCATGCATGCATGCATGCATTTGGGGCCGCGGGGTCCCACATGCATGCCTGCATTGTGGGGCCCCACGTGCATGCATGCATGCGCGCTTTTGGTGTTTTTTTTGGGCCCTTTATTTCGCATGCATGCATGCATACGTGCATGCATGCATGCCTTGGGCTCTGGGGCTTTGCTCTGGGGCCCCGCATGCATGCATGCATGCATGCATGCATGCACCCATGCATGCATGCATGCATGCATGCATGCATGCATGGGTGCATGCATGGGTGCATGCATGCATGCA